TCGTTGATCGCTCCGGCAACTTGTCACAGCGGTAGCAGTTCATGTTTCGAATATTGGTCATGGAGTCGGCGTTACTGGCCGGTGTTCTCGCAGACTATGAGGACAATTGTCCCCGGGATGCGACACCCTGTTGTCTGGTAGTTGCGTACCGACGTTTCAGAAGAACGTGCCAACTCAACCTTTCAACCCGGGGGGCAGAGGCAACATGTTTTTAGAAACATCGGTAAACATCTACCAGACTACACGGCGTCACGTCCCGTAATAGTAGTCTTCTAGATGCGTACCGACGTTTCAGAGGAACGTGCCACCTTAACCTTTCAACCCCGGGGCAGAGGCAACATGTATTTAGAAAAATCGGTAAACATCTACCAAACTACACGGCGTCACATCCTGTAATAATATTCTTTTGAGTGAGGTCATTCTCAGCTCACAAGTGCATAAATATTTTACTTTGTATGTGTGAAATTTCTTTATTTTGATCTTAATGGTTTAACATTTTAACAGTTAATATTGGACCTTGGAGGTGAGCATACCTCTTCATATGTATCGGCTTTGTATACCATTAAAAAGCCAGTATTCCAGTATGTAAGCACTACTGGCAGACTGATACAGCTGAATGTAAAGAAGTCAAATGCCTGATGTTGGCTTATGAGCCGAAACATATTGTAATAAAGGACGAACGTGTGGTTTGCCCATACTTTCTGTTCTGAAGACGGAATAAAATGAATAAATACATAAATTTATGCTCTTACTGCTGCTGTTTTGGGGACCATATGGTGACTCTTTCATAATATGACACTGTTTATCACTGCAACTTATTGGAATAAAGTTACAAATTAGGATATTTGCTTAGTTAATAGCTTGTTATCTTCCTGTTTTTCAGGCAGGTTGCTCTGGCCGATTTGATCATCGTTAACAAAGTTGACCTTGTGAACCAGGAACAGTTGGCAGAACTGAAGAAGGAAATCAGGTAATCTTCTTATCANTCATTACTTTTGTTTTCTCCACATTCATTTCCATGCCATAGCACCTTCCAATTTCAATTAGTCTATCAATCATGCCCTGTAGCACAGTTTCTTCCTTAGCCATTAACACAAGGTCATCTGCATATTTCACAGTTTGAATAATTTGCCCTCCTACTTTGAAGTCACCGAGCCCATCCAGAGCTTCCTTGGTCATAAGTGTATAAATATTTTACTTTATATGTGTGAAATTTCTTTATTTTGATTTTAGTGGTTTAACGTTTTAACAGTTACTATTGGACCTTGGAGGTGAGCATACCTCTTCATATGTATCGGCTTTGTATACCATTAAAAAGCCAGTATTCCAGTATGTAAGCACTACTGGCAGACTGATACAGCTGAGTGTAAAGAAGTCAAATGCCTGATGTTGGCTTAATGAGCCGAAACATATTGTAATAAAGGACGAACGTGTGGTTTGCCCATACTTTCTGTTCTGAAGACGGAATAAAATGAATAAATACATAAATTTATGCTCTTACTGCTGCTGTTTTGGGGACCATATGGTGACTCTTTCATAATATGACACTGTTTATCACTGCAACTTATTGGAATAAAGTTACAAATTAGGATATTTGCTTAGTTAATAGCTTGTTATCTTCCTGTTTTTCAGGCAGGTTGCTCTGGCCGATTTGATCATCGTTAACAAAGTTGACCTTGTGAACCAGGAACAGTTGGCAGAACTGAAGAAGGAAATCAGGTAATCTTCTTATCATTAAATTTATTTCAGTACATTTCAAGCACTCCTTACGTGAAGTGCATGAAACGAAGACGCAATGCTTTCATTCCATCTCCTCATCCACCAGCATTCTTCATCTTGAAAACTACCTAAAGGAATTTTGATTAAATTTTGCTCTTGGGGGATCTACATTAAAGTTTGGGGGAAATTTTAATTGTGATTGATATCAGTCCAGTATAATCCCAATTTTAGGTGAAGCTCATGTCAGAGTTCATCAGTTTTCTCGAAAATGACGCATTGTACGTTACATCATATGAAATACGTAGGTAAGTCAATAAGTAAGTTAAAATTGATATAGAACTTAAACAAGAGTACTGAATTGAAAAATGCGTTTATTTATCAACATAATCTCCCTGTACATTGAGGCACTTGTCCCATCGTTTCACAAGCCCCTGAAAACCAGCAGCATAAAAATCTTTGGGCTGCTGTCGGAACGAGGCGGTGACTTCCCTTACTACAGCTTCATCGTCGGAAAAATGTTCAGCCGAAAGATGATGTTTAAGAGGGCCGAACAAATGGAAGTCATTTGGAGCAAGGTCGGGGCTATACGGAGGATGCTCGAGGACTTCCCACTTGAAATTTCGCAGCGTCTCATTTGTCTTGTTGGCTGTATGGGGACGCGCGTTGTCATGCAAGGGCAACACGCCTTTGGTGAGGAGTCCTGGTCTCTTCCGTTGAATGGCCTTACGAAGTTTCCTGAGGATGTTACAGTAGGAGTCGGCATTTACGGTTTGTCCTTGAGGCTGGAATGCGGTGAGCAGTATGCCTTCGTGATCCCAGAAGACTGTGAAAATCACTTTCCTGGAGGATGGTGTCACCTTAAACTTCTTTTTGGCAGGCGACGCAGGATGTTTCCACTGCATTGACGCACGCTTTGTCTCGGGCGCGTAATGGTGAACCCAAGACTCATCACCTGTGACAGTTCAGGCTAGCATATCGTGTCCTTCTTCGCGATAGCAATTGAGATGCTGTAATGCCAGACCCATTCTCTGCATTTTGTGTTGTGGGGTCAGCATGCGCGGCACCCATCGTGCACAGACTTTGTGAAAACCTAACCTGTCATTCATTATGAGGTAGGCCATGCCATGTGAAAACGGCTGGTTCAGACAGCAGCTCAATATACAGAAGTGACCGCAGTACAAGGGGCTTAGTCCCACCCCACTAGCATTACAAAATGTAAAAGGAAACATATTTTTAATATGCTGATCCCAAATCTGACACAAATTTTCCATCACGTTAAAATTTTGCGTTTTGAACTTTGATCCAAAACGCTGTTTCTCTCCTTTTCGCCTCTTAAATTTCTTATAATATTTGTCAGCCATTATATGAGAAAATTCTGTTATACGTCAACATATCTTTCGTGGAGAGGATTGTGTCTTCTCGTGTTTCTGATTAGCGTAATCGAGTCAGTCAGAAACAGTTTATGTCGTACATTCCATGGAAGAAGCGAAAATTTGTTCTGCTCTATAATTTTAAAGGATAAAATGAAACCTGTAGTAACAGAGTTGTGTTGCCTATCCCCTCATATCTGTACAGTAACTCGATAAAGTGAAGTGCATGCAAGTCTGCATCATTCTCGTTTCGTTCTGTCGCGCACGCAACAATTGCTTGTATCACCACAACTCACTTTGTCTCTTGAATTGTCATTTTCCTCTGACTCCCACTTGAGCACGTGATGATTAAGTTACATCGAGCTGAGTCGGTTCGGCGGGAGGGCATTATGTGTGCGGTGGCTGGGAGGATGTCATGTTGTCAGGACTGAAACACATGTGACTCTGAATCGACACGGAATTCTCTAAATATCACTAAAATTGTTGAGTAAGTAATTCTGAAAACTTGGAAAAAAATTTGGCCATTCAAACATTTTAAGTATAACAAAAGTTTAACATTTTAGAGAAAAGAATGCATCCTGCATATTCACATAAGTAATATAACAATACAAATTACATAACGTAGTCGGTATAGCGACTGGTTACGGGCTGGACGACAAAGGGGTTGGAGTTCGAGTCCAGGTATGTTCAAGAATGTTCTCTTCTGCATGTCGTCCAGACAGGCTCTGGGGTCTACCCAACCTCCTATACATTGGGTATCATGGGCTCTTTCCCCGGGAGTAAAGCGGCAGGAGCGTGAAGCTGACCATCTCCAGCCAGTACTCAGGCGAAGAAAATGTGGATCTATACATCCGCTCCCCCATACGCCTTCATGGAGTTGTGCTTAATTAGTTAACCACAGGGGCAACTTTACCTTTAAGATAGAAATATAAACATTGGCACTGCACTAGCTATGTATTGATGCATATACGAAAGTATATACAGTTGTATGTATGTAAGGGCTGGGCCACAGAAACCTGCCCCCGCACTGCGACCTTGAGTGCAGTTGTGTTTGGCGGAATCTCATATACCAGTAGACATGAAAATGTTTAAAGTAATTTGACAGATAGATTAGCTGCTGCAGGTTGTTCTCTTCGGGCTGTAACACAATGTAGGTGCATACAACTGCAAGACTACAGGGTGTCACAACCCAGAGCACCATCATCGAAACAGTCATCGTTAGATTACATATGCTATTGTACTGGGATAGTGTCTTACAATAGGCCACGGTCTTCCTCTTCCAAATCACCCTCACCTATCATATGGGGCTGGTACAATAGGCCAGAAGTGGCCGCAGTACAAGGGACTTAGTCCCACCCCACTAGCAATAAAAAAATACCTATCAGGGTCTTCTTGGGAATCTTATGGTCTCTTACGCGGTCAAAACGTTCTCCAGTTTTACGGAACTCGAAGTTTCATTACTGTGTTCACGAATTCCAGCCTTTCTATCGTATCTACACAACACGTGACATATGTCAACGGGTTTAAAAGTAATAGCTGTTGTCAGCATCTGTAGACTTTATGTGGAAGCTAGAAACATCTGTTCTGAGCTGCGCTTTCATGTGGTCAGGGTGCAGCATGAGCTTCCCTTTGCATTTAGTTCTTATAGTTCAGTTTAACTGAAATTTATATACAAGGTGCGACAATTTAATTCCAGGAATGGTCCTGTGAAAGCAAAATTTGCTTGCCTGAGAACTAGCGGCTTCTGTGGCCTTCGAAATAGTCTCCTTGTGAAGCTATGCACTTCATGAGGCGATGGTGCCACTGCCGGAAACCGTTTTCCCAAATACCTCGCAGTAACGTCACGTTGGCCTGGATGTTAAGGATGTCTCTACTCCAATTTTGAGCAAAGCTTTCTTACGCTTACCAGATCCGTTCTTCGGCATTCTGCATACCTCGTTTGCCTCGGTGTTGCTTACTGCAGATAATAATAATATTCTCTCGAAGCTAATCAGGATCTGTATAACGTTGCATAATCATAGTTCTTTTGCTTTCTATTTCGTTTAAATATGACCATAATCCAACGCCAGATTTAAAATCTTTCAAATGCAATATATTTATTGAATGAACCCACACGATCATGAATATAGACATCTCGCACCACGCGTTTCGAACGGGCCCGTCTGAGCAGGTATTGTCGCGTTACCTTTGTCCGGCTCTGCAAGGTGGAGTATAAGAGGGATACTTAAACTAAGGGTCTGTGGGTGGTGGCGCGGATGTGGGGGGGTACTGTACAATTCACTTTGAAAACATTTGCCACGTATTGCTTGGAGTGATGATTTAATATATTTATTTAGTTCTCAGATTGTAAATGCATATTGGTAATTGATTTACTTAACAACAGTGTGTTATCAGAATCGACACAGAAACTTTAAGAACGGATCCTCAGTGACAGAAGTTTTTGTATTCGCAAGTAATATAAATGCTTTAGGCAAATTTGTGTATTTCTTTCTTTCACACTTGCTGGACGTCACCAACCAACTAACTAACTCCGTGATTTCAGTCCACAAACCTCTGTGGTCTAGTGACCAGAGTTCCTGGCTACAGATCCGGAGGTCCGGGTTCGATTCCCGTGCTACCAAATTTTCTGAGAAGTAGTGGATCTTGAACTGGGTCCACTCAGCCTCGTGAGGACAATTGAGGAGCTATTTCAAGGAAATAGCGGCCCCGGTCTAGAAACCAGAAATTAACGGCCATGGGGATCCGTTGCGCTGACCACGCGACATACTCTATCCGCTAAAGTTGGCACTAACTTCGCCGACAAGCGGCGGTCACTCGGTCGGTATAGTTCGCTTGCGGACTACAGACCACGAAGTTTGTTTCTTTTTGTCTAGCTGTTGGTAATATAATTTAAACAGTTTTATATTTACATGGCCAAAAATACATTGTAAATTCCTATGTTATGTTGCAGTCAAGAGTACGTGACCCTTTGATTGCTCGCTTATGTAAGGTTGGGTTCTTTTAACTAAAATATTATCATTATGGCGAGTGTTGTATTTTGTTAACAGAAAGGTAAAGTTGCCACTCTGAGTGAGGGGTGAGTGGTCAGCTTCGTGCCTCGACCACTTTAACCTTGGAGAAGGACCTCCGGTACCTATCGGATAGTAGGGTAGTTGTGCTCCAGAGCCGGTCTGGGCTCTGTGGATATGAGCTAAGTCTCAGCCTTCGGGAATCGAACAGCAATTCTCTGGCCATTCAGCCGAAGTCTGGTCGCTATGCCGACCTAGGCAATCCTGCTGTGATGCTGTAATGGTTCTTATGTACATAGATACTGAATAACAATACATCAATGTGGAATTTAATATAAAAATCCTCATTTCTCATTCCTTTTATGTAGTCTGTGCAAGGAAGCTGTAAATCCCTAGACACATTATTAGTGTGATTCAGTTTCAGTAGTCATTGTCGTTAGGTCTGCCTGTAGTTTTGTAGCTACAAACGCACGTATATTAAACTTTCTTCAGTCGCAAATCCTGTTTGTTTGTGTATGCAGGATATGATTCCTTTGTGCTGTAGTATAGCGCGGAGCTTTCCGGTTCAACTGATGGCAGTAGATATGAAATATATTTTTCTGCTTTTCACCTGTCATCCTGTCTTTGCTGGCCTTTTGTGTCCGTCTACCTGTGATACGAATTCCAAAGCGATAACTGTTACTCATGATTGCAGGAACACAAATACACAAGAGATAGTCATTTGGCAATGTTACATCAAGTGCTACCGTCTCGAACTCATAACACATCTCCATGTCTAGCGTGCAGATGAACTGAAGGTGTGTTCTTTTGTTACACATACACCGAACAGCATTAGTGTGAGGCAAAGTTTTCCGGAAAGTGAGTGGGTAGAAGTTTCAATCAGCCTTTACTGTTCCCTTAATGTTCCCAGTGCCAACGTGATCAGTGTGTATGTTACGTTTATTGCCACAAGAAACCAAATAAGTTAGTATTTTCCTTCGTTCACATCACTTGTGTGTGTGTGTGTTTGCGTGCGGCTAACCCACCTGCATAATAATTTCTGTGTATCCAAAAAATCAGCCATCAATTTAATATCAAGATGGCGTCAGTGCAAACTTCCGAAATGGTAGCGGCTGTAGCGCCGCTTATCATAGAGTCAAGAAATTCTGTGTGTTATTCGATAAATAATGGATTTTTTAAAAAAAATTGATTTTATTGTAATATAAATATGCATTTTGCGGCCGCAAAACTTGTTCATATTTTTAGTTTCTAGTTTCGTGGCGATAATCGATTAAGGGCGAGGACACACCAAGGAAACTGGCAACCGCAACGCAACCTCAATTTCTGAGAACTGTTATCAGACTGAGTTTAACACACGTTACGGAATGGAGTAGCGCAAATTGAGGAAACGGCAACTCGTCAATTTGCGCTGCTCCATTCAGTAACATGTGTTCAACTCAGGCTGATAAGCGGCGGTCGCTCGGTCGGTATAGTTCGCTTGCTGACTACAGGCCACGGAGTTTGTTTTTGTGTGAGCGACAACTTTACTTTTACTTTATAATAGGTCACGACCGAATCCTAGTATAACCTTTCCAATGCATTTTTTATAGCCATGTTACCATCCGACGATATATATACTGTATTCTCAGGCAAAAATCTTCATTGAATAAATACATAAATAAAATGGAAAAGCAGTTTCGTTAAATCATCTACTGTATCTTCCCAAAACAGCCCGGTAAGAAAATTTATCGGCCTTGACCATTTTCTGGGTCCACGGTACGGGGTTTTTATTGTGACTAAGTACTGTTCCCTCCTGTTACCCTAAGATTCATTACTGTCCTCACAAAAGTCTCTGATTCGACCCAGTCTTAAGCCATCTGAGTCGAGTCCACACCCTCGCATTCTGCGTTTTGATATTCATTTCATTATAAATCTTCCCTCTTCGAATAAGGATTGCTGAATAAAATTTTGAACGCATTTCTCATTTCCCCCACTCGTGTTACATGGCCTTCCTATCTCATTCTTCATGATGTAATCACCCATCGTTCTGTCCGAGTTGGTACACAGAACGATTGATTTGTACGACAGAGCCTAATTGTAGGTCTTTCTTCATTCGAAATTGTCGTAGCTTTGCCACATGTTGGACTTCTCCTAAATAAAGTCGAATTCTGTGAAAAAGGAAGTAGCATACCTTTCATTGTTATATCCGTATTGAATCGTCATAGGTTCACATGACAGTACGCTTCAGTGTTCCAGGTGACAAAAGGCAGTTTGAAGACCAAAGGTTGCCGTGTAATATTGCTAAATACCACTTGGAATTTGTCATGTACCATAAGCGTGAAATTTGCTCTGCCTTTGCTGTCTGTTGGTGCGCGCGGTCACTTCCGGTCTGCAAAGTATTGAATCCTGTAGCACCTTCAGTTATGCCATCCGTTATTAATCCACGGGTTGTATAGTTGCTCCGGTAACTCCTGCTCGGTCATTGTGTGCTACGTAATTTATTGATATCTGACGCATGAGCGTGTGACACGGGGCTTGCTTTGCTACTTCTGAAATATGCAGTGCTCCTGTTCATGAGGGAGTTGAAGAAACGAAACTATTCACTGAATAAAAATAGTTGACGAATCGTAGTACTTACTTACTTGGCCGCGCCATAGCTCAAGCGGTTAGTCGCTGGCTTCCCACTGCGGCGGCCCGGGTTCGATCCCGAGTCTGGTCAAGTGGAATTTGTGGTGGACAAAGTGGCGCTGGTGCAGGTTTCCTCCGAGTACTTCGGTTTCCCCTGCCAATCTTC